ACATGGAACGCGAACACAAACTTTCCTTTTATTTTATAATTTGGACAGTATTTAACTCAATTCGAGATAAATATATACCTCCTGAAGGCCCGCATTCATAGCATTGGAAAGTATTCGCGACTCTCTTTGTCCGCCATCTTGAATCTCTTGGTTTGTTGTGAAACACAACACTCCAATCAAAACACGCATTCTCATTGGTTGAAACGTGAGTTTCGTGACATCACAGATGTCCTAATTTATCGGGATATTCCGGACTGACAATGAAACAGGCTCTCGGTCACAAAACGATGGGGAAAGCTTTTAATCTATATCAACGGGTAGATGTAGTGTCGGTGCTGATTGAACTTTTTTTAAACTTAACATTTTTGTTTTACATTTTTATGTAACTGAGATAGGGGAATGGTTGTGAACCCGAGCAAGTTTCACAAGAGCAACAACAGATACAAAAGTTAAATGTGTTGGATGGTCGATCCACAACCAACGTGCGTTTTGATATCTCAAAGTTTGTTCGAAATATGTAGCCGTAACCTTTTTATCGGTTACTTGTTAGGACTCTTCTCAAAACCTGGTGTGATTTGTGCCTGGTTGAGGCCAGAAAAGTGAACAAATACAAATACAAATATCGACGAGTTTTTCCGAATTTCTCTCTATTAAAGTCTGTTTCAAATATTTTTTATACATGTTGTTTTGTAATACCCTTTCCTTCGGGCTGTAGACGAAGAACTAGAAATGAAGCCAAAGAAGAAAAGAAAACGGACGAGGGAATTTCCAAAACAAGACAGCAGTGATGATGGTAATATGCCACCAGAGATCGACACGTGACTTCTCCTTAAAAAACAAAGACAAAAACAAAACAAAAACACCAATACAATGCCAGTCACTTAACTTATGAGTTTAAAGCAAGTGATCAGAGACTTGGATAGAGAAGTTTTCAATTGAGTGTTGTCAAACCAAAACCAAAGTAAGCACCCAAGCCAATTACATAATGACTCTGACAATACAGAGAACCAATCAAAACTCGAAGCAATTACATGTAGCTGACGCAAAGCGCGGAAAAACGCGTACGAGGGAGCCACGACTTCTGATTGGATGAAAAAGTGGCGCGAGTTTTTTAAGCCAATCGTGTAGCGTAGTTGATACAAAACCAATTACTTTTCGACACTCAGAAGAAAACCGCTCTATACCGTAAAATGCTGGTTAGAACGCCCTAAGCTGATACAACTTCATAAGGGGATTTTCGTACACTTTGTAACTGGGGGAGTTAATAAGTGGGAAGGAGAGGAGTTATAAATGAAGGTAGTATAAAAGAAACCGTTTGAAGAAGAACTGATAGTAAACTACCAAAATTCGGATGAGCGACCTGTTAGCGATAACTTGCTGGTGACAGCTCCATGTAGATCAAATAAACAAAGCCACTTATCGACTGTTAGAATCAAACCTTGATAAAAGTAGGCTTGATATTATATATCCCAAGGTTGTACATCGCTGTACATCGCAACCAAACAAAACTTGTTGGATTAACCTTATCGTAACTGTTAAAAAGAGTCCACTGAGTGCTGCCCTTTAGGGGCTTGTAATTCCAACCAAAAAAACTCTTGCACGCCTTGCGTGCCTATGTCTTCCCATGCCTGTCCATGCACGATATTATTTCAGCAGTTTTTGCTGTGCAGGAATGTTTTTTTTTTTTTTTTGGTATTTGCCCAAAACTCCCTCCCTCCCTATCCCCTCAAAAAAAATAATGGTCCGTCACATACCACAGACTTTGCAGGACCCTGGTAACTGTTAGTCGAGATAATTTATGAGAGTAAAAAGCATACTTTTCGTAAGCATTGACCCACTGTGTCTCGCTTGTACTTGTGATTTTCTTTCTGTCTACAGAGCAAGCTGTCACGAATGATGAACCGGACAAGAAGGTCCCCTCCGACCAAGGTTCTTCAAGAAGTGACAGTCCATTGCCGCAACAGCAGTCTCGGCAAACAGAGAACG